AGTCAAGGATGAAACGATTTGCTGGATTCTAACTCTTCTAATGCGGTACCTCACTTTTCCTCCAAAAATCCCTAAAGGGACCTTTGGCACCATTTAAAAGTTTTTGATTGGTGTCTCAGATTCAGATTCTGACACATCCCCTCTGGCAGGTGGGGAGGTGGGCGGTGTTGGCAGGAAGTGCCGGACGATTAACGCCGCTCCCTGCTCCTCACTGGGATCAATTAGGATCACTTGGGAGATTTTAGGTCCATGGAATCACTTGGGATCGGTATTGTTATGGGCTGAATTGTGTCCCCCAAAATTCACATGCCGAAGCCCTAAACCCCAGTACCCCAGAAAGTGACTGTATTTGGAGATAGGGTCTTTAAAGAGTCTCTTAGAGTGGAACTTATTCCAATATGAATGGGGTCCTTATAAGAAAAGGAGATTTAGACACACAGAAACATGAGAGATGCACACACAGAGGAAAGGCCGTGTGAGGACACAGCGAGAAGGTAGCCATGTGAAAGCTGAGAGAGGCCTCTGGAGAAACCAAACCTGCCTACAACTTGACCTCGGACTTCCAGCCTCCAGAACTGTGAGAAATACACCTCTATTGCTTAAGCCACCTGGTCTGTGGTATTTGTATGGCAGCCCTAACAAACTAACACAGGCGTCCTCCATAAAGACTTATTTTTCAGCTGAAGTTCATTGTAATTATTCTTCCTCTCAACTCATCATTGTCTGTACCATTCATTTGAAAATTAATCCTAAAAAATTTAAGTTTTTAAAATTTAACCCTTCATGATTTTATTTTTTTTCTCCAATTCTTCATTCAATCATTAACCAAAACTTTACTGAGCACTTCTATGTATGTCCTGTTCTAAAGCACGTAGATTGCCATGTTCTCCACTTCAGCCATGCATCCATCACAGAACCAAACAAAGCCTTGAACACTGTAGGGCTTAGAAAATTCGATGGCTTTCTTTTTTAAAGTCGTCATTTTTTCTGATTATCATGGTAATTGGAATTATTAAAGAATTTGGAAAATATATAGAAGAGTATGACTGAAAATAAAAATCACTCATAAATGCCACTACTTGGGGAAAATTACTGTTAGGATTGAAGAATTTTCTTCCAATTTAAAAAATAGAAGAAACACTTTCCCAAGTTGTGAAATAGCTTTCTAAAGCAATTTTTAATGCTGTAACAATATCCTACTGTATGGGTTTACTTTATCTATTTTTACTGTTTACCTGCTACTGGACATCTGATCTTTCTTATTTTTATTGTTATTATGAGTATTATATGTTAAGTAGCCTGGCTTACTAACGCTCCATACAAATCATTTTTAAATTTAATTTTTATTTTATATTGGAGTATAGTTGATTTACAATACTGTGTCTCCATACAAATCTTTCTTCAAATTTCTATAACTTCCTTATGATGGATTCCACGAAGCGATCACAGGAGAAGAGCTTTGCCGTTCTTGATATTTATTACCAAACTACTACCCTGGGGTGATTGCATGAACTGGATGTGGTTTTTACTATAAAATAATCAGGAACATGCTATAGGTCCTTCTACTACTTAGATTTGATAACCCCAAACTTAAAAGAGGAAAGAGCTTTATAAGATAATCAGAAACACCTGCATAATACCAAAAAGCTGACTACAAAAATTCAATTTTTTGTTATTGCATCTTGAGTGTTTTATTTTCAAGTCTTAGAATGTTAAATCCAGTACGAAGGGTAGAAGGACTTTTAGAAGCCACCTGCCAACTTTATCGATGACAAAATTGCAGCCCAGGGAAGTGGCTTTCTTAAGGTCATGCAGTTACAAGTCAAAGAGCTGGTGCTGGGGCTTCTCTGGTGGAGCGGCGGTTGGGAGTCCGCCTGCCGGTGCAGGTGACGCAGGTTCGTGCCTCGGTCCGGGAGGATCCCGCGTGCCGCGGAGCGGCTGGGCCCGTGAGCCATGGCCGCTGAGCCTGCGCGTCCGGAGCCTGTGCTCCGCGGCCGGAGAGGCCGCAGCGGTGAGAGGCCCGCGTACCGCAAAAAAAAAAAAAAAAAAAAGAGCTGGTGCTGACATTCGTGTCTCCCAAATCCCAGTCTTAGAAACTGCTCTTAGGAGGTTCACATTAAGGCAGCACGTAGCAATAAGGATGACTTAAACGTTTCCAGCAGAGATATCCCTAACTCAGCTGCTCATAAATGGCTTTCCAAGCACTTTCTACTAATTGGTTAATTAGTAGAACAGTGTTTTTACAAAGAAGATTCTGAAATAATGAGTATTTCTAAGTAAGAGGTACAGTTGGAAATGAAGGTCGCCCATGGCAGAAACTACCATAGCTTCCCTGAGGAGGAAAATACAAACTTAATTCCTCTTGGAACTTGACTAACTGATGAAAGTCCTGTGCTCACCTCCCTTCTCGGGACTTTTGGAGTAAATAGCAAGAAATAAAGGACTGCTTTTTCTCATCATACAACCTGGGAAATATGGATTGAATATCCAGGGAAGCAAGGCAAAATGTTGGTCTTCCTTGTTTGAATTTAGAGACTAGAAATAACTCTAAGAAAACAAGAAATAATTCTGTATCAGCACAATCCAATAGAGTGTAACCTGAGCCATATACAAAATTTAAAATGTCCTAGTAGTCACATTTAAATAAGTAAAAATTAATTGCCATAATATATTTCATTTAACCCAATATATCCCCAGCATTATCATGTCCACGTGTAATCAATATAAAACTTACTACAGAGCTATTTTACATATTGGTCGTATTAAGCCTTTGGAATCTGGTGTATATTTACACTTACAGCCCATCTTAGCTTGGACTAACAACATTTCCAGTGTTCAGGAAGCCACATGTGGCAGGTGGCTTCCATCCTGGATGGCAATTCTGCCCTATACGGCAGAATTCAGTCTCTGGTGGGTCCAGGCCTGTCGGTTTTATTACCAAAGTGAAAGAGGTATCTTAGAATAGAAAAGATAATATGATCATTTTTATCTTTTTAAAATGTCTAGCAGGCAAAGTGTATAAGTTGTTATTAAAAGTGGTTATGGGGCTTCCCTGGTAGTGCAGTGGTTAAGAATCCTCCTGCCAATGCAGGGGACACAGGTTCGAGCCCTGGTCCGGGAAGATCCCACATGCTGTGGAGCAACTGAGCCCGTGCACCACAACTACTGAGTCTGTGCTCTAGAGCCCACAAGCCACAACTACTGAGCCCGCGAGCCACAACTACTGAAGCCTGCGTGCCTAGAGCCCATGCTCCGCAACAAGGGAAGCCGCCGCAATGAGAAGCCTGCATGCACCGCAACGAAGAACAGCCCCTGCTTGCCGCAACTAGAGAAAGCCTGCACGTAGCAACAAAGACCCAATATAGCCAAAAAATAAAAAGCTGAATAAGTTTTTTTTTAAAAAAGTGGTTGTGGGAGAGAGACACAGTGGCCTTGCCAAGGAGAGGGATAGAAGGCAGGTCCAGAACAGGATACCACAACTGGCAGAGGGTTTTTCTTATCAGGGACTCACAGTCAGAGAAAGAAAGTCTCCTTGTTCGGGGAGGGTTTCTTTTGTTTGCTTTTTCTTTTTTAGCTGAAGGGAGTTCCTGGGAAAGATGAATGCCATTAGAAGTGGAAATTCTCGGAAATAAGAAAAAAAAAAAACCTGCCCATGCAGACACTTGCCCCACCCAAGCAACTATCGCAGCTTCAAAGGATTCAGCAAGTGTCCAGGCTCTGCTGCTTGGGGTTGCAGAGGGCCAGTCCTGAGAGAGCTTGGGGTGGGCAGAGAGGCCTGTTCATTTCCCTTCCTCTCCAGGGGGCCAGGGCTGCATTGAGAGCAGCTGTGTCCAGAGCTGCCCCTGCTGATTTAAATCAGGTGTAATGGGGAAGGCCAGGGAGACCTCGGTGTTCTTGGGTTCTGCAAGTAAGCAAAGCTTGAAGCTGCGACAGAGGAAGCTGGGAGAGCCCTGGAGACCACCATGCCCAAGAGGAGGGTCCCAAGAGGCAGAGGGCCTTGCCCAAGGCCCACACCTAGATAGAGGCCAAGCTGGGCCTTGAATGTGGTTCTGACTGGTAGCCTAACTAGCGCCTGTGGGCAGAAGCGGAATCTCTTCTGCGATTTGCCTGTAAGTGTCACTGCGTATTTGTGGGTGTTGGGAGCGGGGGCTTAGAGAAGGAGGACTGTCCACCGGAGGCCACACCCCAAGTTATCACCCAGGCCAGTATGTGGTGGTACTCACAGCCACCAAGGTGATGGTGAATCCCAGATTTGCCACTTCATCATTTAATAAATATTTACTGTGCCCTACTGTGTGCTAGGCACTGTTCCAGAGTCTGGCGGATACAGCAGTGAACAAAATGGGCAGAAAACTGTGCCCTTGCCTTCCCCCTAGTGAGGGGAACAAATAATGAACAAAACAAGTAAATTACACAGTCGGTTAAAAGATGACAAGCAGGGAAAGGGACAAAGAATACAGAGAAGAAAGGTTGCCATTTACATAGGGTGGTCAGGGAAGGCTTCACTGAGGAGGTGACGTTTGAGCATGATCTTCCTAGAGATGGAATGTTTAGGCAAATTCCTTATCCTTCTGGACTCAGAACAGTAGTAATAGTAATAATAATAGATAAATCTATTTAAAGTGCTCACTCTGTACCTTTTAAAGTTCTTTATATGCGTGAAGCTCACTTAATCCTCATAATCCTGTGAGACAGGTGCTATTATTAACCCCATTTTACAGAGTAGCAAACAGAGAAAAGTGAAGCAGGTTTGCCTGAGGTCACACAGTTAATCACTCAGGCAGGCAGGTGGCCTCCAGAGCCCGCCCCTTTCTTACCAGCCCTAATAGGGGTGATCTCTTAAGCCCTTTTCAGTTTCACCGAGGAAAACCGAGAGGAAGCGTCTGCAAGCTGAGCGTTGCCATGGCTTGTGATTTATCTGGGCAGGTTGCTCTTGCTGCTTCCATTTTTCTGTCTGAAAATGGAGTGACTAAAAGCTCTTCAAACATCTGTTTCTGAAGCATCCTGCTGGACTTGGCAGAGGATACAGGGTGGCATCGGATGTGAGCCCAGTCCTAAGGAACAGATCTTCGCTTTAGGCAAAAAGAAGCAAACCCGTTAAAAAGGTAGGCAGGACGAGATGCCACCAAAAGGCTACACAGCCGAGGTCCAAGGGGAGGTCAGACCTTGGGGTGGCGGGGGGGATCCAGTAAGACTTGCTCAGAGGCTTAGGTGGGGAGTCTTGAGTAGTAGTGGGGGGTGGTACATCTCACAGGTGAGAACAGCATAGGTACAAGGTGAGACGCGGCAAGTCATGCTAGGAGAGTGGAGAGTTGGTTTACCTAAAACAACACTATTCTGATGTCTGTTTCCCAGAAGCATTGAGATTAATAAGTGCAAAACTTCTCCAAATTCTGATTATCTCTTCTGATTTAAGGGACCAGAAAGCTAGATAATCAACATCAACAAATCCAAAAGTAGTTTCCAGTTGGTTTGGAATGCAGCTGATTTGACTTCTTAATTATGTCGGACGCACATCACCTGAGCCAGGTGGGAAACCATCATGGACTGCAAGCATTCCCGTGGTAGAGAAAGAAGAGCCTTGAGGGCGGGGCACATCCAGGTGAGTCCTGTACGCCTTGTTATTTACACTAGAGTGTGTGACCTTGGGCATAGCTTCTCTTTATCTTAGCTCCTGTGTTCTGTAAATGAAGGATGCATTCCCTCCTGTTGCTTAAGGACCAAGTGAGCTAGCCCAGGTGTAGCAGACACTATGGGTGCTGAATCCAGACCTCCTTAGAGCCCTCTGACTGGTTCCATGTGCCTGTCCCCCAGTTTCTGAGTGCTTTGCTTCCGAAGGTTCCAACCTGAGACCTCCTTTGGAGGATGGTCCTTGGGCTGCTGGAGCTGCTCCCACCCCTTGGCTGGTTTCTCCTGGGAGCATCTCCATTGTAAATTATTGACGCCTACCTGTGAATCTTCTCCTGAGTCTGTATCTGGGGACCCAACCAAAGATAGTTCACGAAAGCATTTTGAAAATTTACAAGTGAAACATATAATGTAAGGAATTACCATTTGAAATAACTGCAGAACTGACTGTACAAATCTTCCATCTGTGAATTATTGGGGTCAGGACAGAACAAGAGTTCAAAAGATGATCTGAGTCTAATTTTTCCCTAATGTACTCAGCACAGGCAGCCTCTGTGTGCCGTCCCATCAACTAGGAGCTTTCACCTTCTTGGGTCTCGGGGGACCTCCGCCACTGCTCTGTCTGCCAAGCCGGCACTGTTTGCCACCCAGGGGTCATCAGCTTATTTCCACTCCATTCCCTGTGTGACCTTTATCAGGCCTCCAGGAGAAAGGCAACGTCCTGAGGACAAGGGCCCAGACTAGATTCACTTTTGAGAGCTAAGTCACGTACTTTTGGGCTATAGTGGGAAGATCCAATTGTGGGGAGTCAGGAGGCGAGGCTGGGCTGGGTTCTGGCGCCGTCTCTGTTACCAACCAGAAGGTGTCCTTCAATGACCCTTTTCAATTCACTGTTGTAGGATGAGGTTGTTGACCTTGAAGTTCTCCGGGATCCTTTCTAGCTCTAAAAATGCATGATTTTATAACATAAATGGGGGCAACTGTGGCTAAAACCATCTGATGTTAATTTGGGCTTAAAATCATTCTAATGAATGTTTTCAGGCTTGGGAGGTGGCCTGCAGTGCACTTGCCAGAACCAAGTTGACCTCTTCCAAACCTCAAGTCTACACGAGGTCCGTGGCCTTGGGGAGCCATTTGGAGTCTCCAGGCTGGGCAGATGGTGCAGAATTTGGTGCCACTGACAATAAAGTTTGGTCTGTATCTGCCTGGACCCTGCAGTAAAGAACACATCAAGTATTTTCTTTTCCTTTTTAGCTGGATGGGGCTCAGTGCAAACACAGAGCTGGAAACTCCAAATGAGGACACAATATTTTAATAGATAGTCTGTCAAGAACATTAAAACGCCTCCAAGGGATGCTGCAGACCTGGAACTACAATGGCATCGGCCTGAGTCCAGGCTGTCAGAACAGTCTCTGAAACTTTGCTTTGGAGACACTGGGGAGAAACAGGACAACTCCCACATGGGAACTGTCTTGCAGAAAAACTGGTCTCTAACAGCATCTGACCCCACGTCACACATCTGCTGGTCTCCTTTAAAAAAAAAAAAGGGGGGGGATAAAGTGAAAAAAAGTTTTAAAAAAAATTTTTATTAGAGTATAGTTGACTTACAACGTCATGTTAGTTTCAGGTGTACAGCAAAGTGAATTAGTTACATGTATACATATACCCACTCTTTTTTAGATTCTTTTCCTATATAGGTCATTACAGAGTATTGAGTAGAGTTCCCTGTGCTGTACAGTAGGTCCTTATTAGTTATCTATTTTATATATAGTAGTGTGTATATGTCAATCCCAAATCTCCCAATTTATCCCTCCCCCAACTTACGCCCTGGTAACCGTAAGTTTGTTTTCTACATCTGTAACTATGTTTTGTAGATAAGGTCGTTTGTACCCTTATTTTAGATTCCACATATAAGCAATATCATATGATATGTGTCTTTCTCTGTCTATGTAACTTAGTGTGATAATCTCTAGGTCCGTCCATGTTGCTGCAAATGGCATTATTTCATTCTTTTTAATGGCTGAGTAATATTCCATTGTATGTAAGTACCACATCTTCTTCATCCATTCATCTGTTGATGGACACTTAGGTTGCTTCCATGTCTTGGCTATTGCAAATAGTGCTGCTATGAACATTGGGGTGCAAGTCTATTTTCAAATTAGAGTTTTCTCCAGATATGTGCCCAGGAGTGAGATTGTTGGATCATATGGCAGTTCGATTTTTAGTTTTTTAAGGAACCTACATACTGTTCTCCATAATGGTTTTACTTACCAACCATTTACATTCCCACCAACGGTGTAGGAGGGTTCCCTTTTCTTCACACCCTCTCCAGCATTTATTGTTTGTAGATTTTTTTTGATGATGGCCATTCTGACTGGTGTGAGGTGATATCTCATTGTAGTTCTGATTTGCATTTCTCTAATAATTAGCAATGTTTAGCATCTTTTCATGTGCCTCTTGGCCATCTGTATGTCTTGTTTGGAGAAATGTCTATTTAGATCTTCTGCCCATTTTTTGATTGGGTTGTTTGGGTTTTTTTTGACACAGCTGTAAAATGTTTTTCTTGTAGGGGAAGAGCAAAGCAGGCATGACTATGGGTGGCCACCCTTTCGCATGAGCTTCAGACAAACCATTTAGTGTGACTGTAGAGGGAACTTTGCTCAAAGAAAACGCTGTTCGCAAAAATTTTAATTCACAAAGTAAAGAGTGAAGCGTAAAGGGATTTTTCACTTCTCTAAAGGATTTACTGTAAGTTCATTTGAGTAGGATGGGGTTTCCCAACAGGCTGCTTACAGGTAGAAAGGAAGCCCATCTTCCAGGATGTGGCGAGCAGAGGTTGTCTGGGATCTGGATACACAGAGGGGGGCTCAGCAGCATCAGATGCTGGGCCAGGCGCCAGGAGAGCCTTGGCTGGTGGTAATGGGTGACCAGCTCTCTCCAATACTCCCTATGTGATGCCATCCCCTTACCGTGTCTGCCACGTGTGTATGCATTTCTGACATGGGAGAAGACTTTTTTCCAGTTATAAAAAAGGTTATACAGTGTAGAGAATGTCCCAGGACTAAAAGTGGGCTCGCCGAAACTCTGGGACACCTCATTAAACATACCTCTTACTTATATGGTAGTAAAGAGTGACCTGGATATTTCAAAACCACAGATAGTCCAAAAATAATTTATATCAGGCACACGTGTGATTGTCTTGTATTGTTTCTTGAGTCCTGTTACGAAATCACATATTTTTAGAATGGGAAGATCAGTTAGTCCCTTTACTTAAAAAAAAAAAAAATGTGGTTAATAAATACATGGCATAAATTTACCTTCTAACAATTTTAAAGTGTACGTTACAGTATTGTTAACTATATGCATCTTGTTGTATAACAGATGTCTAGAACTTTGCATCTTGCAAAATTGAAACACTGTACCCATTGAATAGTTCCAACTTTCCTGCCTCTCCCTAGTCCCTGGCAACCACCATTCTACTTCCTGTGTCTAAGAGGTTGACGACTTTAGATGCCTCATATAAATGGAAGCATGCAGTGTTTGTCTTTTGTGACTGGTTTATTTCATTTAGCATAATATCCTCAATCCTTATCCATGTTGTAACATGAGACAGGATTTCCTTCTTTTTTAAGGCTGAATAATATTCCATTGTATGTATATACCACATTTTGTTTATCCATTTATCTGTTGATGGACATTTAAGTTGCTTCTACCTCCTGGCTATTGTAAGCAGTGTGGTAGTGAACATGGATGTGCAAATGTCTCTTCAAGATCCTGTTTTCAATTCTTTTGGATAAATACCCAGAAATGGAATTGTTGGATCATATTGTAGTTCTATTTTTAATATTTTGAGGAAACTCCATAGTGTTTTCCATAGCACCAATTTACATTCTCACCAGCAGTACACAGGGTTCCCTTTTCTCCACATTCTCACTGACATTTTTTATTTCTTGTATTTTTGTTAATAGCCATTCTATCAGATGTGAGGTGATAGCTCATTGTGGGTCTGATTTGCATTTCCCTCATGATTAGTGATGTTGGGCATCTTTTCATGTGCCTGTTGGCCATCTGTATGTTTTCTTTGGAAAAATGTCTATTTAGATTCTCTGTCCATTTTAAAAATCAGATTCTTTATTTTTTTGCTACTGAGTTGCACTAGTTCTTTATATATTTTGGGTATTAAACCCTTGTTAGATACATGATTTGCAAATATTTTCTCCCATTCTGTAGGTTGCCTTTTCATTCTGTTGATGGTTTTCTTTGTGCAGAAGCTTTTTAGTTTGATGTAGTCCCACTTGTTTACTTTTGCTTTTGTTACCTTTGCTTTTGGTGTCAAATCCAAAAAAAATCCTTGCCAAGACCAATGCCAAAGAGTTTACCACCTATGTTTTCTTCTAGGTGTTTTATGGTTTCAGGTCTTATATTAAAGTCTTTAATCCATTTCAAGTTAATTTTTGTGTATGGTGTAAGATAGTGGTCCAATTTCATTCTTTTACATGTGGCTGTCCAGTTTTCCTAACATTTTTTACTGAAGAGACTGTTCTTTCTCCATTGTGTGTTCTTGGGTTTTTTTTTGTCATAAATTAAATATATATATTATATACACACACACACACATATATATATACACACACACATATATTTATATTTACTTCTCTCTATTCTGTTCCATTGGTCTATTTGTCTTTTTATGACAATACCATACTGTTTTGATTATTATAGCTTTGTAATATAGTTTGAAATGAGGAAGCATGATATCTCTAGCTTTGTTCTTTTTTCTCAAGATTGCTTTAGTTATTTGGGGTCTTTTGTGGTTCCATACAAATTTTGAGGTTGTTTGTTCTATTTCTGTGAAAAATACCATGGGAATTTTGGTAGGCATTGCATTGAATCTGTAGTATGGATATTTTAACAATATTCTTATCTACGAGCACGGAATATCTTTGTTTATCTGTGTCTTCTTCAGTTTTGTTCATTAATGTCTTATAGTTTAACCTCCTTAGTTAAATTTATTCCTGGGAATTTTATTCTTTTGATGCAGTTGTAAATGGGATTGTTTTCTTAATTTCTCTTTCTGATAGTCCATTATTAGTGTATAGAAATGCAACTGATTTTTTATATTGATTATAGTTTTGTAAAATCGATTTTTTATCCTGTGACTTTACC